CCACCACCGCCACCAAGACCACCACCACCACCACCACCACCACCACCAGCACCACCAGCAACGTCACCGGCAGCAGCAGCAACAACTGCAACAACTAAGCACAACTAACAACTTCATAAGCAATCACAGCGACCATGACAACGACAAAAGCAGTAACAGCAACATCAACAGCGACAACAACAACAACAACGACGGCAACCACAACAGCCACAAAGACAACCACAACGACAGCGACAGCAACAACAACAACAACGACAACATCAGCCGCAGCAGCAGTAACAACAATGTCAACAGCAACATCAACAACAAGAAAAACAAAGCACAAATAACAAATATAACATCAACAACAACTACAGTTAACTACAAGTACAACAACAGCACCAACAACAACAACCACAACTACAACCGCAACTACAACTACGACAACGCGAATGACATTAGCAGCCATAGTAGCAACAGCAGCAAAAGGGAGGAGCAACAGCAGCAGGCGCAGCAGCAGCAGTCGCAGCGACAACGACAGCGACAGCGACAGCAACAGCAACAGCAGCAACAACAACAACAACAGCAACAACAGCTGCAGCAAGAACAATAGCGACAGTAACAGCAACATCAACCGCAGCAGCAACGGCAACAGCAACGACAACAACAGAATCAGCAGCAACAGCAACAGCAACAACAACGACAACAACATTACCAGCAACTGCTGCCAAAACCAGCAACAGCAAAAACGGCAGCAGCAGCAGCAACAAAAACTACAGCAACAGCAACATAAACAACAGCAGCAACAACACCGACAACAACAACAACAGCAGCAACAGCAACAGCAACAGCAACAGCAACAGCAACAGCAACATTAACAGCAGCAGCAACAGCAACAGCAACAGCAACAGCAACAGCAACAGCAACAGCACCAACAACAACAACAACAACATCAACAACAACAACAACCACAACCACAACCACAATAACAATAGTACTAACAACATCAAAAAATCAAAAACACAGAACATAACAACAGCAGCAGCAGCGGCAGCAACAACAACAACAACAACAACAGCGACAACAGCAGCAACAACAGCAACAACAACAACAACAGCAACAGCAACAGCAACAACAACATCAACAATATCAACAGCATCAACAACTACAAGTACTACTACAACTGCAACAACAGCAAAAGCTACAGCTACAGCTGCAGCTACAGCTACATTTACGGCTACTGCTACAGCAACTGCAACTGCAACAGCACCAGCACCAGCACCAGCACCAGCAGCAGCAGCAGCAGCAACAGCCACAGCAACAACAACAACAACAACCACCACAATAACTACAGCAACCACAACAACCACAACCACTACGACAACGACAACGACAACAACAACCACGACTGCGACTACGATTACATCGGCAACGACAACGACAACAACAGCAACAGTAGTGACAGCAGCAGAAGCAGCAGCAGCCGCAGTAGCCGCAGCCCTAGCCACAGCGACAGCGACAGCGACACCAACAGCAGCAACAACGACAACAACAACAACAACAGCTGCCGCAACAACAATAGCAACAGCCACAGCACCAGCACCAGCAACAGCAGCAACAACAGCAGCAGCAGCAACAGGAAAACAGCAACGGCTACAGCTACAGCCGCACCACCAGCAACAACAGTAGCAGCAGCTAGGACACAGTGCCTTCTTTATTGTGAGGCAAGAAGGTCAGCAACAGCAACCCGTCGAACGAGTAGTAGCCTTAGTCGTCGCTAGCGCAGCAGTAGCAGCAGCAGTGGTGAGTGCGGTGATCGTTGCAGCCATCAGGACAAGATCCTAACAACATCCTTAATTCTTCACCATCTCTGAAGGACTGGGCTGCCGGGAATGGGCACATGGAGTGCGTGGATCTGCTTCTGACGGTGGACGCTGGATATGCCCTGAAGGCTGCGGATCGACGACATTGCCGGGTATAGTTGGGGCTTCAGGAAGTTGCGGGTGCCTTGGAGTCCTTGAAACAAGGCTTGGACAGGTTGCGGTGGAGGTTCATTCTGTTTAATGTAGTTGCCCTGAGAAACCCACGACACACTCAGTGTTTTTCGATGGTATGATACCACGCATGCGTGGATACCGTATTCATATATGTGCACATGCAATTGCCTTCATACTTGTTTTTGGATGCTTGTATCTACAATATTCAATATACATGCTGTGCCGTTTTTTTTCTGGGAGCAGGGGCTTGGGGAGTTGCAGTGGGGCAGGGGCAAGGCGGGCAGGAACATGGCACCCATGATTTTTTTTTGGTTGTGGACACGTGAGGGGGCCCGAATATGATTTCCCGGCAATGTCCTGCATATTCAGGTGATCGAGGTACACGCAACCCGACGCGTGTGTGCCGTCTTTGTAGTAGTTGTGAGATATGCTCCTGAATGTCTTATGGAAGCTTACGAAAGCCTTCATAAGCACCCTTCACGCCCGCACAGACAAGTTTCCAGAAGCCTACTTGCTTGGAGGCAACACGTCGAGATGGCCGGGGACCCTTTCACTGGGCTGCCCAGGCTCTCTGTCTTGGAGGGCTTGGGGCGTAGTGCTTGTTGGAGGGTCGGGACTCTCTGCTTTGCCATACTTCGCATGTCGTGCACCACTGCAACATGACCAGGAGAGAGGCATTGCACATGCCAGGGTGGGCACAACTCCATTCTCCGGCGGCTTTTGCAGTGCAAGGCCACTGGGATGTTTCGATTTCAGGGCTGAGGATCTCGGTTGTTGACTGCTTTGATTCCCTTGCCATGCAGAGGCATTCTCGTCGGCCTTTCTCTCACTCCCGCACGCTTGACAAGCTTGTTCGTGGGTGATGGTCAGGTACACCCTGATGCTCGCACCACAGCTGGGGTCACCATGATGATGCTTCGCGGCTGCAAAGCACGGCACGTCTCATTCATTGGCTTTGCAAGTGGCGGAGTGGCACGAAATTATGTGAACGCTCTTTTAACTTGTGTTGGCGGCATGGTTTGCCATCGCTCAGGGAGGCCTCGACCATGGATAATCATTGGGGGGGGGGGGGCAGGGCGGCCGAAATTTTAGCACCGCAGATGTTGCAGTTTCCCATGTGTTTGTGTGCGGGAGGCCAAGGTGAAGCTCAATTTTCATGGCGATGTAGACTTGAACACCGTTTGATGCTACCAACTCGCGGTTTTGCGAGGTTTGCAAGTTATGGCGGCCGCATTGAGACGTGTGACTTCTTACTACGTCAAAGTGGCTCAGCTGCTAATATTTGCAGGTACTGGACATGTCGCGGTCTTTAAGCAGTGATCTTCAAGCCAACCTTTTCATGAGAGACTGCGCACAAGCCTACAATGCTAAGCCCACTGCATTTGCGGGACACAGGAGCAGATTTGTGGTTGCAGAATGCGTCCGTTGGCATCATTAGACGGGTTTTCGTTCTTCGGGGATCCAGTGCATTTTGGTTTTTGATTGAGGAAATAGGCTTGGTAGTGAAGCTTTCATTCCAAACATGCACTTGTTGTATTTGGAAAAGCTATGCTTCCAGGCAGCTGAGAGAGAGGGCATTGTGACCTGATTGTTCAAGAAGCATGAACTATTCAGAACTATCATGCGGCCTTCCATTGGCTGGGGCAGGTAACTAGCAACGAGAAAACGTCCAAGCAAAAACATTGCAGAGCATGGAGAACTTTGGTTGAAGACTCGATGCGCTTGTCCATTGCAGTCGTCATTCAGTGCACCGTGACGTGGGGGCGAAATGGAAGAACAAGGACTGTTGAGGCTCTCACGCAATATTGAAAATCAGTTTGTCGTCATCCTCATGTGTGTCATCATCGTGACCACCACAATATCACTATCCACGACCATGTTGCCTTCTAGACGACACTACACTTCCAAATGCTTTCAAACTTCATTTTCAGGGCCGTTGTTGTCAATCCGCCGCATGCGGTTTCAGCTGATCGTGAATGTCATGGTCCGTTTTCAGGTCAACCGGCGACAACTGCAGGTATACTAAGCAAATCCTGAGCGGAAAAGTGTTGTACAATACTGTTGACAGACACAATAACAAGGGTAGCACGGCCAAAGTGGAGGCAGCCGGCAAAGCTTAAGTTAGTTCATAAGCTGAAGGCTTACAGATCATGGCAACAGTGCGGCCAGCAACCAGACAAGAGGTATGGCTGCGACGCAGGGCACTTTGCGGCCATGGGCGGCGGCGTGGCCATGTGCCAGTGGCCTTTTGGCTGCCGCAGAGGAAAGAAGATTTAATGTAGGAGTCGGAACGACAATTTGCAATAATTACTATTCCTTAAGCCTGCTCCTGTGACTTGCACTATGACTATGATGTACCCCAGGTTCTGATTATTCACCATAGTCAGCAGAGAGAACCATAACTTCCATCGCGATGGAAAGTTTCAAACATAGAGTAATTAGGTACCAATAGCCCGAGCAGTCATAAGGTATGACAACCACGGTTTGTGGGTATTTTCAGAACTTCTATTCAGAGTCGAGGCAAGGTCAGGCCGAGCCGAAGGAGGCTTCCATGGATTCTGAGTTCCAAAACCCCCCAGCGCTGAAGGACCAAGCCGTGTTGAAACCTTGAGACACGCAATCCCCGAATTCCGGACCCCGTATCAAGCCCGGCTCCGGCCTAAACCCTGAACCAAACTGCACATCATGGATGATTGTCGTGTGTTTCTGAGGTTGCTTCAGCAGGGCATGTGCTTCACCCGACCCCAGCGCTCCGGCCATACGGCCCCCCCGCATTGGATTTACAATGGGTTCAGGATTGGCATTCAGGGTTCAGGTAACATTATTTGCGTTTCTTGAATCAGAATGGTCTTCAGGGTATGATAGGTTTGAGACACTATCACCGAGGCATGCAGGGTTTTAAAGATAAGGATCCTCCGTCCGACCTGAGGCTTGCATCGGGGTAAAGTTCAGAATTCAAGTATCCTAGTACTTCGAGTCCATTTAGGAGGGCTTCTGAGAGAGGGATATGTTTGCACTCGTGAAACTCCCAACAACCTAAATCCTGAACGCCAACCCCTGAACCGTTCAACCCGAGACCGTCCGAGACCAGAAACCTTGTTTGTCAAGGTATTGCCTAGGAGCTCTGGTGGACCTTGGCTTTCGGGTTCCGGGTGTTGACCTTCAGGAGACTTACGGTTAAGGGTATGGGCGGGTAGAGGTTCAGGGTTTGGAGTTTTATAAGATCTGGGGCACAGGGGAATAAGATTCTGGGTTCAGTAGAGAGAGCGGCAAGGTGTCATTGCATCCAGTGCATCTTCAGGGTAATATGGCTGCAAAAACTTCAAGTTGCCAGGCTTTGGACAAAGCAATGGAATTCGGGCAAGAGGATGTGACTTGACTTGCAAGGCACCGCAAGTTTTGACATTTCACCTGACCCTCCACAGTTTCCAGCAGTGTGAGCTATCTCGTGTTATCCGATGTGCGTCGCACTGCATTTCAAATCCTTGCCCATCAGCCCCAAACCGTCAACCTTGGCTGCTACTGCATTTGTGTTCTTGGTTTCGTTTTCCTGACCCCAAAGATCGCAAGTTTTTGGACGTCGTGCATGGCATGCAGAGGATGCATGCGCTCAATGGTCGTTTCGAGGTTGTGTTGTTTGAGGTGCAACTCCTTTCCATGTGGTCAGCACCCTGCAGCTTCACGGCGCTCAAGTGATGCTGCGACAATAAGGTCATAAACTATCTCGCACGGGCAGGCGCTGGGGTGGAGGACCAGTCCCCGCACAGCTGTGGTTCAGCAGCCTGAACAACTCAACGCTGAACCTTCGAACCCTAATTTCAAACCCACCCTGAACGTTGAAACAGTCTTGATAAATTCGGGCGCCGCAGACGACATGAAGATTTTCGAGTGAAAGTCATGAGGCGTTCGGTTCGAGGCCCCGACGTGAGGCTTGACTGTTGGTGTTCGGCGTGAAGTAGAGTGTTATTTGATCGTGTAGGAAGCCATTACTGATGCTTTCGGCTCAAGATGAAATCAAGCGCGGCTGCTGTGCGGTTTGGTTCGGGTTTAATTTTGGGTTTACTTCCGACGTGTGCCGTGGCCAGCTTCTTCTTTTTCTTTGTTCCTTCCTCACCCGACTGTGCTGCTTGCTAAGATTCAGGGCTTTGTTCGGTGAGTGAATGTTTGATATCCCGCCTTGTGCTTCGTGGAATCAGGGCACGAGAAGCAGCTAACCGTGAGCGAAACGCTTACATCAAACGGGTGCCTGAAGGCTAGCGGCTATCTCGATCTTACACCGCCCAGGTTTTGATTTTCCAAGCGGACGGATCGGAGCACCCGCTATACACTCGTCAAGGCTGGACACTTTTGGCAATCTGGACGAGGACGATGAGGTGGAAGTGGTGGAAGCTTCCAAACCTTCTACTTCTTCGAGTGCAGTAAGTCTGGAGCCTATTTGCCAAAGATTCACCTGCAGCGACTACGAGCATGCAGCCTTATGGCTGGGTCAGCCCCACCGGTTTTTTCACGTCTATGTGCTCCGTCTCCGCCGCCGGCAAGGCTGAGGCCGACTCAAAAGGTTGAGACCTATTCGGACACGTTCGCCTCAACCGTCTACACGAAGCCACTCAACTCAACTGTTGCTCGTGAGCTTATACCGCGCCCAGCGGCTCCCAAAGGAACTGTTGCTCCTGAGCCTGAGGGTCCGCTTCGCAAGCTCCCAATGCTCCCAAAAAACCCCCGCTTGCTGTTGAGAAAACTTCTTCGTCGTCGAGCAAAGACAAAGGCACGGGAAAGCCGTGTGAGGAAGGCCGCATGAGTCTCACCAACACCAACAAGATCATCACTCGCGATTCGATCCGAAACAGAGCTAGGCGCACCGTCTTCCTCGACTTCCACAATACGATTGACTTAACTTCGCAAAGTATCAGCGCCAGCCTTCGCAACTCGGCGGCCTGCAGATCGTCCTGTGTAGTTGCAGGATCGGAGATGCTATGTTGTTGCTGGAAATTGTGAGTTTGATTGCGGCTTCCGAGCTATCGCCAAAGAGACGGTCCCAGCGGGAAGTTGAGCATTGCCAAGAGGATGTTCCTTAGTTCGGAGTTGCTGATTGGCGACGATAACACGGACGTGGTTTCGGAGGTCATTCGTTGGGGGGATCAGTGCTTCCATATTAGGTTGCCATGTCGTCAAGCGAGTACCCTTGGAAACTACGCGAGCATCCTCGAGGCGGAGCAGGTGATCATGTCTTGGACCCAGAGTCCGTTGTGAGAAGCTGCAATTTCTTCGGCTTGCTCGGCTGCTGTTGCGCCGCCTGCCACAGATTTTGTGCTGGGTGGGTTGGCTGCTCCGAGCGCTGAGGCACGAGAGATATCAATCACTTAGCTCCGGTCAGTTGGGGTATAGATAGTGATGACTCAAGATTGAATCTTGGCTATGCTGGGCACAAAGTCGGTCAGATGCGCGCTGCACAATGCAGACCGACTGCTGAGGCACGATATCCGAGGTGCAATGACCAGACGTTGGGTGAAACCTGAATCCAAACCTTATAACCTATACTAGGACCTATACCATATTACTATGAAATAGCTGAGTTCTCCCGGCACGCAGCGCAGCAGCCGGCCGGAGGTGGAGGCGTTCGGCATGGGCACAATGTGAACGATCACCTCCCGCATCAAGGAGGGCTTTGACTCGAACGCCCCTGCAGCAGGGTTGCGGTCCAAGCTGAAGTGCTGCATCAGGCTTCCATGTCTGTGAATGAAGGGCAGAGTCAGGTTCGTGATGTCAGTGCCGAAGCTGGTCGTACTGTGGAGCAACTTCGGGAGCAGCTTAGGGTGTCTGAGGTCAGATGCGTTGAGCTTTATCAGGTCATTTTGTGGAACAACAACTCATTGAAGCTAAAGATGATTTGAGTAGGGTCGAGTCAGATCTCTGGGCCCAGCAGGTAAGCTTTCAAGAGCGTAGCGGCGTAGCAGCGCTTTCAAGGATGGTCAGTCATAGTCATAGTCATAGTCACACAGCCATCAAGGATCGACGGATTCAAGGGCTTAGTTCTGCCGCTCCATGCGCAAACGACTTTTGGGTTTTTTCCCCACTCGGAAACATTTTATTTCACAAGTGGCTTCAGCATTCGGTGTGAGTGTATCTCGCATCCCATGTCTCCTATTGCCAGTTCCACATCAGCTGTTGCAGGCCCAAGAGTTGATCAGCTTATTGATGTAGTTACACAGTGGATGATGGTGATGAAGAAAGGGAATTTGGGTAGAAAGATGTCGTTGATGAAAGAGCTCTCCGGTACTTCAATCTCGAGCCAGTCCCTCCAGATGCTTCCCATCCTGGAAGGACAGTTTCTAAGCTCAGCTGTCCAAGCTAGGCACGTCAGGCGACGGTTTGGTATTAGCGCGGAATATATGGCTCGTGCGCATGGACTCATCTGTGAAACGAACTATCAGTTGAAGGAAGATGACCCAGCACGGAAGGACAAAAGGGCGAGGAGTGCTACTCGGTGATCAGGTGAAGACCTGAACATGGAACCTGAAGACCTGAACATGGAACCAGCCTTATTTCAAGACTTGGGTCATTCCCCGGCTACCTTTGATGCATCAAGGTGGGCTGATTACTATGGGTGCTTACCAAGGAACGATGTGCAGATGGCAGATGCTATTCAAGCTTACATCCAGGCAAAACTGTCTGGTGTGCCATGCTGGGTGGAACTACCTGATGAAGCGTGCCATCCCTCTGCAAACAAGCATAAGTTGCGAACGCCCGTATGTCATCTTGTCAAAGCTCTGTTCGGACATCCAGACGCGGGGACCATGTGGGAGCAACATTGCCACACCGCAGCACAAAAGGTCGGATTCAAGCCTCTCGGGGACATATTGCCGTCGTTGTACTTTCATCCGCAAATGCGGTTACTGCTCGATCGTTATCTACGTCGATGACATTAAGACGGCAGGTCCCAAGGATCAGCTACCAAAAGCTTGTCATTGATGACGAGGACCATGGAGGTTGAGCAACCTGAAGAAGAAGTCGATGACACTCCTCAACGTGGTCCGGAATTCTTTGAGGCAACCAAGGCGAAAGCAATGGATGCTCTAAACCTTTTGGGTACTGGACCTATTGAAGTGGGCGAAAGCACTGGTTCCCTCTGTGTCCTATGCGGAAGCTCCCAACACTGCCTCTCGAGACTGTGATCAAAATTCACTTGCGCGCCAACGGTGAAGAGTTATTCAGGATCATGAATGAAGCCATCGAGTCGCGCCCAACGACTACTACTTCGGCATCATCTCAGGTCCGCGACCAAAGCAGAAGTCAACAATCACGAGCTTCTGGATCTATGGACGTTGATGAGGTTGGAAGTAGTACATCATCTACTCGGAGACCAAAGGCCAAAGCGAGACCAAGAAGCATTTCAGAGAATGTCGGTGACGGAACATATATCATTCGCTACCAATATCATCAAGATCTTCGCGATACCGCGGAGAATCGTCGTGGAAAGGAATTGATGCGCGGTGAAGAAATCCGAATCTTGGGCCGGTCCTTGCAAGTCATGAAGATGTGATGAAAGCAGTACGAAAGATGAGCGACTACCGAGACATGGCATTGCCACAACGAGGAGAAGCGCCGCGTTATGCACGCGCACCGACTCAACCCAACGGCTATCGGAACCCTGCCTACAAGAACATGGGAGACGAGGTTCGTGGGGGGTTGCTCGCGTTGATGCCTACATGGGGAGTCTCATTTGCTCATCCCGAATGGGGTCACGTCCAAGAAGCACAAGCCCCACGGCAGATGTCGTATACACACATCGATATAGCCACACAGACTATGCGGTTCATTCAAGCGCATCTACGCCATCATCTGGGCATGCCTCGAGGTGCAGTCAAGATCGGAAGGGATGCAGCGCCCACTATTCCGTTCGACGAAGGTGGATGGGTGCAGGTCGACGACTTACTCTCCAATGACATCCTTTGGTCACACAGCAATCGTGCACTTGATCGTCCTCTGAGTTACCGAGACAGGGAAGAAGAAACGACGACAGCTGAATAAGCGCTTCAACTGTTGTTCGATGGCAATCTGATCAACGCATGCAGCAGAAGGAACCCCAAAATCCGACTACAGTTCCTCGGAGTTCGTGTCACAGAACAAGCCGGTGCGAATGCGGTCACTGAGAATGCTCAGCCCTTTGATGACGCAGTCGTCGATGTCGGCACTCAACTTCATGAACTGACAAGCATGCACGAAACACGCGGAATCACTAGAGAGGATCTTGATTTCAGCGACAAATTTTTCCGACCATGAGCGGTTCGTGCGACAAGCGGACACTCGACGCCAGGAACCCGTCCCAGGTACTCATGCCACTCGATCCTGACAAGTTTGCCATTGACCCGTCGAGCACATTGGTCGACACCATCAAAGGCGCTTACCACAGTACCGAGTTCCACATTCTCAGGCCCATCATGGAGAACGCGATCTTAACCGGCTCGCAGGTTGACGACAGCACATCAGGGAGAACACACAGCCATTTTGGTGCTTTCGCTCCTTGGGATGATCGCAGCCAGGTCACGAAGTACCGTGCAACTGGGATAAAGTACACACCTCTGGTGGCTCGTTACATTCCAATACGTGACCTTGTTCGTGTCGGCGGCAAAGTGACAAATAGTGGAATCATAATTGTCAGCAGATCCATTCCGTTCAAGTTTGTCAAGGAGAAATGGATATGCGTCCCAGAAAAGACATCGCACTGTGAGTTCGACTAATTACATCGAGAAGATTTTGGACTACGAACTCGAGGACGATGCGGTCATGAAATCCGTTGAATCTCCGAGTGCGCCCAACTTCCAGGATCTTCGCACACCTCAGAGGCTGCTGCTAATGACTCTGCTTTGCAAGCTTCCGAACGGACCACATGACGCAGTCAGAGAAAGGTATCTTCAGAGATTATCTGTACTCGCTAATCGATGTGATCGAGACCAAGAACGCGCAAACGGATTGATGAGGGAAGTCATTCAGTTTATCATCAGGTGCACGGTGCAGGGTTCTCGATGCTCGTGATGATGATATTCGCTACCGGGTGTGCCCATATTGTCTATCCAAGACGCCGTCATGTCTGACATGATGTACCAAATGTTTGTTCGCATTCTTTTCTTGCGGCAAGTTCCATCGGGCAACACAACAGAGGGAGACTCGTTCGGAGGTTCCTCATGATGACATTGCTCATGCCATGGAAGCTGCAACTGCAGCCACATCAGCTAATTCAATTCCGGAAGACGGACGAGACGATGATGCACGAAGTGTGGCTGAGCCCGAGGTGGAAGTCGACAACAAGTATCTTACTTCTCGGACATCAAAAACTGCACTCAGTATCGATTCTCTCATCAATGCCGCTTCCTGCATGGCCTGCCTGGTAATTTACTGTATGCACAAACTCTGGAATATCGCATTGCGTTGGTGCGACATGAAGATGAAAGAACGTTTGGGACTAGAATTGAGGTACGATGCCGTGGCAAAATGGGGGCCAGATCTGTCACAGATTGACCCAGAAACGATGATTTCCAGGGACGTCGAGGATGAAGAGGTCATGGCCTGGGCCTATGCCATATCCCAGCAGAATCCACACGACCCCAACGGCGAATCCCTTCTGCGAAAATTTCGTACGAACCGGCTGCTGGCAAAGCTTATACGCGGTGCACGTCAGATGGGATACCCTCGCGAACTCTTCAACCCGGCCGGCGACCTGCCTGAATGCAAGAGAGCAAACTCCGGCACAGATGCATGCGAGTTGCTAATGATTCCGTATTTGGCAGTCTCCTCGGCAAGGTGACTGGCAAAACTATGTACACGGTTCTTCGTCCAGTACATAAAGCCCACGATCGCGCACTACGCATGGACCCAGTCGGCGTCATCATGTTGCTCGGCACAGGCGATGCTCCTATTGCTTCGATCGAGATGATGTCCAATCGTGACATTCAACTGCAAGGGCCGCAAGGGTATGTGGACAGGCTAACCAGATACCGTGCCAACCCGAATCCACCTATGCATGCGCAAGCTCTGGACCACATCCAAGCGGGTGCCTACATGCCACGTGGACAATCAGGCATCATGGATACACCAGTCACAGAAGCCGAACTTGCAGCCACTCAACGATCAGTAGTTCCCAAGGCAAAGGCTCCTGTTCCACAACCAGGGACAGGACACACTCGTGGACGAGGACAAGGCGGGCCACCAGAGCGACGTGGTGACGATCGTGAGCAACAACGTGGCCATCGACGTCAATGGGAAGGATGATCCATCGACTCATGCTTTCATCATCTGCTACAAGACTACGGGACATCGGCTGAGCACATCTTTTCGTGCTATGATTTCTTCAATGGCATGATTTTTCCTTCTCTTCACATTCATGGGGAGATCGCCGTTGACGTAGCTGAGTCTCGCGCAGTCTAACTTTCAAAGTTGCCTCGGAACCAATCTTTAGTTTTCAGGTCAAGCCGCGAGTTTCTTCGTATGTGAGTATGACCGCAGGTCAAACTCGTGAGGGGTGCGAAGAGACCTCGATGCCTCATCAAATGTGTGGTCTCGCAACATGAGCACAACAAGAGACCACAGTTAGAATTCTTTAGGCAATCACCACGGGCCAGCTTCGCTGACTGTGGTTGATACATTCTTTCTACACGACAGCTTCGCTGGGTGTATAGAGACGGTTTAGTTATACTTGCTCCGCAGCACGGCAACTTTGGCTCAAGAATGAGACTTGTAGCTAAAGCAGCTCATGCCTTGTATGCACTGCTTTCCCGTGACGCAATTGTGTGTGTGTGTGTCTTCCCCTCGCACAGACCACAATTTCCTAACCTTCAGTGCATTGAGGCAAACCACATCTATACTTTATCGCTCGGTGGGGTGGGCAACATCGAACACATCGATTACAATCTCTCACGCAAGGTTTGCGTTTATTGCTGACGTGTTCAATAACATGTTTCCATTTTTTATTCCTCACCCACCTGTGTTGCTTGTTTGGGGTCGGAATAACTGACAAGAGTCATCTTGTAGCCCCAACGTTAGCGACCCACGAACAAGCTGATCAATCCCTGGATCTTGGACAAATTTGTGCCAAAACATAGCCAATGTGTGAGCTGCGTCTTCAGTTTGTCTTCAGCGAGCTGCGTTTGCGTAGGTGTAATAGATAGATTTTGAGCTATCAGTTTGTCTGTTTGGACAGTAGTCTACCAGAATCGCAGCGCATGTCACAGCATAGGTATTCAAGCTTTTTGGTGGATGAAGCGCATTCACAAGAGAGAACATGGTTTGGAAGGAACTCTGCATCATGACCAGGAGTCGAAAAGGCAATCTTCAGGCACCGCCTGGAGCTTGGGTTTGGGTTTAGTCTGGCTGCAAGATGTTCCAACCTGACCTCCACGAATACATCAAAAAGATTTCGCGCTTGGGGTAAAGGAAAGGTTTGTCACACTTCGAGGGTAGATTTGAACGGTTTGAGTTTTGTTGAGTGTCATGAGTTCTTAGATTTCAAGCTTCCATGCCAACACGTTGAAACCTGCCACAGCCCTAACCTTCCATAGTCGCAGGAAGGCGGCTGTGCAGGGCTATTGTAAGATTTTCAACGTGAAATCCGAAGAGCCTTCGCAGAATTTCGCTCCGTTAGATGCAGACCCTGGCAGCAAGCAATCATTCCCCTCGACAGGCTTGAACCTGGATTCGTTATGCGGCTTCGGGGAGCGTTTGCCGGGGTTTGCAAGCAGGATGTTGTGGGAGGGGGGGGGGTTGGGAGGGGCAAGGGACTGCCAAATAAATGGAATGGTTCAGCACATTTGGGCCAAGCTTTCGAGCATGTTTGGCTGCCACTAGAGGACCGAATCCTAACCGACCCCAAGCACAGGGCCCAGGGTGATGGTCGGAATCCCCTAGATGCTTGGACTTAAACGCCCTTAGGCCCGCAATACTCAACCCAGCAAGCCAGGTTACTGGGATGCATCAACGAGACGATCGGTTCTTTGTGAGGAGCAGGTGATGGAGTGCTAGTATATGTGGTCCTCGTTTCTTTAAGCGGTGCAAGGGTTTCGAGTTCATTGTTTGGGGTGTAAAGCTTGGGATCAAGGGAAGCAAACGGTTTTCGGCTGACTTTGCTTGCGTTGCGAACAATGGTGACCATGACAAACGGAATCATGATCACACCAACAACATGTTCCAATCCTCAACATAGTTATCCGACCATCGTTAATTACGACATCCGACATCACAAATTTAAATATGTGCAACAGCATCAACACCAGCACCATCATCGCCGTGACCGCGATCATCATCACCACCACGTCTACTCCGGCCCGAACCACGGCATGCACGACCACGCACCAGAACCACCACCACAACCACAACTTTTTGCCACCCCCACCACGCCGCCACCACCACCACCGCGACTGCCACATTCGCAATCAATCGCAATCTTCCGCTTTTGCGCGATCATCATCTTCATTGAATCATCATCATCGTCGCCATGACCATTATTAAACATCACGATGGGATTCTTCATTGGCATTAGCCTCATCCCTGGCTTCACCGTCATGCTCGATGTTATCATGCCATCACGTTCAATTTCTCGGTTAGCTAAGTCAGGACGATGGAGTAAAGCATTTCGCAAAGCGGTTGGATGAAGCACTGTTCCGCCGCAGGTGCGCGACTGGTGAAGACGGAGAGATGGCGGAGAGAAAACCGAGCGGCAGTCTTTGCTGTGCTGCGCATGTTTGTCAGTGCGAGCAGGCCGGAACGAGGAGGTATTGGGTCATAGTTAGCAGATAGCAGCCTTCTTTTCCGGTGCCCACCACGGAGCTTGCATGTGCTGCAGCATGTCACAAGCAAGGATCGAACACGCAGCTCTCCGTTGGAAGAGCGGAAGAAGGCCGGAAATGCCCGACAGTTGCACTGAAGCTTGAGAATGTTTGGCAAATGTTACGAACCCTGGAAGGTTTTCAGTTTGCTTTTGACGGCAGGCGGTAGACTCGGCAGACCTCGTGGGGCCCTTCGAAATCGAAAGCGTTGAGGTGATTTCGTCGCATTTGCTGGCGGGATTGCTGCAGTTTGTTTGTTCAAAAATACACGTGGGACCCAGCTTCTAGAGTAGTGCCCTGTCGTGACCATGAACCGTGTGGGCAAGATCGCTTCTCACGTCAGCGCGTCCTTGTCGGAACAGGATCCCAGCCTTGTCTCACAAGCCACAGCTGGCACCGCCTGCATTTGTGCCCCAGAGAAGTCCGATGATGACGTGGTGATCTGCTGTGCCGTCCGGACACCGCTGACCAAGGCAAAGCGGGGCTCCTTCAACAACACCTCCCCAGAGGAGCTTCTGTCTTGGGTTTTCAGGGAAGTCGTGAACAGGACAAATGTGAATCCGAAAGACATCGGTGACATCCAGATCGGTAACGTGCTTCAGCCGGGCGCCAGTGGACTGACCTCCCGGATGGGCCAGTTTATGGCCGAGCTGCCCTACGACATCCCTCTGAGCACTGTCAATCGCCAATGCAGCAGCAGCCTCCAAGCCACCGCGAACATTGCGGCATTCATCAAGGCGGGTGTGATTGATGTTGGCCTTGCTGGTGGTGTGGAGAACATGAGCATGTTCCCCATGATGGCCACCATCGACATCACAAAGCTGTCTGCAAAGATCATGGACTACCCGAATGCAGAGGCTTGCTTGCTGCCCATGGGTTTGACGTCTGAGAACGTGGCAGCCGCCTATGGCATCTCGAGGGATCGCCAGGATCAGATGGCGGAAGATTCCCACAAGAAGGCACTCGCTGCTCAGAAGAACGGCTGGTTCAAGGAGGAGATCGTCCCCGTGACCATCGAGGTGAAGAACAAGGATGGCAGCGTGACGAAGAAGACGATCACTGAGGACGAAGGACCCCGTGGCGGCACCACGAAGGAGAGCCTGTCCA